TACTATTTATTGGCCCAAAGTGCACCATATAATAAAACAAAATATAGCAACATATATGAATTTTGAAGAAAAAAGAGAGAATCACATGACAAAATGGAGAGGTTTAGGTAGAACAGTGAATTAGAGGTGGTGTTTCTTACATACAACACATGACAATTTGCTCACATTGTATCAAGAGTCATGAAAATAGTATATATAGGTCTCCTCAACTATATCTCAGTTAATTTGTGCTCATCACGAAGGATCAGACTTCTCGATCTTGCAAGTTTTTCAAAAGGGGATGTAGATGATATTTTAAGCGAATTATGTATTGAAATTTGTGTGAGATTTATAAGGTTGAAGTACGTGTCATTTGTTATTCTCTTATAATTCATTTGATTATCTAAGAAAATATATTTATTTTCCTTTATTATGATTTTATATAATATATCAAATAAAAAATATTCATTTCAAAAGTAGGTAGAATATTATTTTGAAGAGAAACATATATACATACAATAATTTAACATATGTATATTATATTGACCTATGTTACACTTGAAAAGCCATTCCTTTAATTGAAAAAAAACTACACCAAAGTGAGAAGGACCCCAACTTTTGAAGGGTCGAAATGTCCTAATCAGATTTATATCAACTCGCTAATATGAGTCGTGCCGGAATGATGAGAATATCCTTCAGTATTACTCAAAATTTTTGAAATCGAACTTCTAAAAATGGAATTATATTTTTATTAAAAATACTCGTTAATTTGAATTTAATCGAATATCAATATGATGATTATCGAGAAAAAAAACATTTATATCTACTCTCTCCAATAATAAGGCATTAACAGTGACCAAAATAGATTGTGGTGTAGTAGTGGAACTACTTCACTCTTAACCAGCGATTTCAGACTTGATCCCTAAATATGAAGAAAATTTTGTTGGAAGTGTTACCTCCAATTGAACTTTGCAGTGCGTGATTCAAATTTAATCGAAACTCCAATAGAGACTCATTAATGAGGGGCCAAACCCTAAACACTATCCAAATTCTAACAGCTGGTCATTATCCATGCATGCATATAAAAGAAATGTCATCACAAGTACAATCTTTTAATTGCACCATCTATTAAGGGACAAGAAATTGGAAAAGCAAAAAGAAATTTTATGAGAAATAGAAAAAGGGGAAAATAAAAAAAAATTACACAAGTTTACAAGTTTAAAAATTTATTTTATAATCACAAAATATTATGATATATCTAATAATATATATATATAT